TTTTTTTTTTTAATGTTTAGATTCAAACTAGGAGAAAACCTTTACAAAACAAATAGGGTTGTGGTAGACCATATGGTGGCATGAAAGCAAAAAAAAAAAAAAAGATAACACTTTGAGAAATAATTTACCATTAGAGTGTTCCTCATTTCCAAAACAGAGCTAAACAGATTGGTAAGATTTGACCTTTAAATTGAACTTTAAAATGTCTATTTAGTAGTTTTAGCTCACAAAAGTAATATATAACTTTTTAATGGTGAAATTTATCAACTACATACTTGAGTATAATATATAATTTAGGTAGGAAATTATTAACCCTATACAGTTTAAAAATTCCGTTGGAAGTGAATGTGAAGTAAATGGAATTCTCAGCTCCAGCTCTACTTGACTCAGTCACATAATAAGCTTGATATAAATAGCTCTGAGAAACAAGTCAGTGCTAGGAAAAACCTAAAAAATTAGGAAGGGGAGAATAGGCCTAAGAACTTATATATGTTTAACCTTATGCTAACTAGAAATAATCACTTGTTTACTTATGAATATTGCAAAATGAGTGATAACCTCCACCCCACAGCATTTACAGAAAAGAGGTTTTTTGAATGTCTCCTTACCAGGGAGGAAGGACATATCCCAGTTAGGAATGTATTTAATCATTTTATTCTGATAAATCGTGTGCTAAGTGATTGGCTTTTGAGATCAAATTAAGTCTTGTCCCTTGTGTTTGAAATCTCTTGGGCAACAGGAAAATGTTTGAAGACCTATTACAGGAAAGGTTCCATTAAGAAAAAGTTGATAATAGAATTTAAACATGACTATTGAATCTAAACAGTCATCTGAGGACAATATTGTATCTTTTACATCCTCTCTGTGAATTTCCTTCTTCTTGCATTAGCTGTTGGTCTTATATGCTAATACAGACTCTTATTTGCTGTTCACCAGAATTGTCATGACAGAATATGGGCTAAATTCAGCTACTGAAATGAATCATTTGTCGTGTTACTTAGTTTGATGACCTTGGAAACTACATTGTGCCTAAGGAAAATATTATTAACTGCCTCTGTACCTCATCATGTTCTACAATTCTTTCATAATATTTGTTTCTTTGTCCTCAAAAGGCAACCTGTTGCCAAACCAAACCTGATGCTGTCGAGTTGATTCAACTCATAGCGACCCTGTAGGACAGAGTAGAACTGCCCCATAGGGTTTCCAAGGAGCTGCTGGTGGGTTTGAACTGCTGACCTTTTGGTTAGCAGCTGAGCTCTTAACCAGTGTGCCACCAGGTCTCCATATTATACAGTTACCCGTATTTCTTTCCTTGTCCTCAAAAGGCAAGCCCTCACTAAGGGAATTCTACCTACCTACCATCACACTCCCATCTCTTTCTACCTTCGCAGGTGCTTCTCTCTTCAGTTCTCCCTTTCCTTTTAGGCATCCCATCTCTCTTAGAGCAAATTGGGCAGTCTTCCCACTCTTAAAAAGATCTCATACCTTCACTTGAGCTTAATACCTCTTTCTGGCTTCTGTCCACTGCTTTTCTTTGGTCCTGGGTTGCCTCCACTTCCTTGCCCCACATTCCCCTAATTTGCAATATACTACAGAAGCAGGAGGTCCTCCCCCCCAACCCCCAGAGGTCGTCAATAGTCTCTTTTTGCTAAACCCCCCCCCCAACCCTGCATTTTTTGTCACCTCTACCATTCAAGAAACATTTCTGGGGTCATAAAACTTGGTGTCAGGGAACTCAGTCCAGAGGGAGATACAGAGACATAAATGATCATACTGTGGGACATGCAGATAGTATGGGAACACTGAGGAGGCAGCAACCCAGCCATGGGATGAGAGTTTATCAGGAGAGCTTTCCTGGAGATGATGAAGCCTGGTCGCTACTCTGAAAGGCTAATACAAGCCACTTCTCTATACCAATGTCCTCACTGTAAAATGAAGGTGGAGATTAGTTTCAACCTGAGGTCCCTTCTGGCTGTGTTTTATTGCCGTCTACTCCCTCTTTGTTGGTATCTCACAAGTCTTTTTTTCCTCTATACACGCCATTGATGAACTTGGTTTTGTGGAGCAGTTGGAGCTCTGTGAAGATGGATCCCTTAATTCACACTTTGAGTCAAAATCTGAATGCTATAATCTGGCCCCACAGTTCTAGTTGTCTGAAAAGCATCTCCTTTCAGACTTCTTGCCATATCTCAACCTCCATGATCAAATGAAATGAAGGCATGCCTTGTCCCCTGTTCCAAAACCAGCTTACACACGTCTATTCGTGTTTCCCAGATGACAAGACTGGAATTCTATGTCCTTAAGTTTTCTCCACCTAAATCTCTCAGTATTGTCTTTCTGTATTCCTATTATCCCACACTAAATTTCAAGCTGCAGAGGTATGATGGCAGATCAAACAGCCATGCCATCTGGATGAATGGATGAACCGTGTTTGAAATAGGATTCTGATGGTAACGAAACAAAATCACTAAGTATGCTAGACTTCCAGTAACCTCCACCTCCATAGCTGTGGGCCATGGGTCAACAAACTACCGCCCACGGACAAAGTCCCACCTGCTGCCTGTTTTTGTAAGTAAAATTTTATTGAAACAGCCACGTTCATTTGTTTATGTATTGCCTATGGCTGCTTTACAGTACAATGGCAGAAATAAGTAGTTGCAACAGAGATCATCTGGTCCATAATGCCTGAAATATTTACTCTCTGGTCTTTTACAGAAAAAGTTTGCTAACCTCTGCTGTAGATCAAAAGCCAGACTAGATGTAGATAACTTGTATGATACATGTAGTCATCTAAAAAATATGTATTTAAATTCTTTGATACTCCTCCCTTCAAGAGGTGGAGCTTAATTTTCCTTCCCTTATGTGTGGGCTGAACTTCTAACGTATAGAATATAGCAGAAGTGATGGTATGTCACTTCCAAGATGGTGTTATAAAAGTACTATGGCTTCTGTCTGGCGTACACTCTCGTGAAACATTGCTATAGAAGAGCCATGTTGCGAGGATACTTAGGCAATCTATATAGAGAGGCCCCAATGGCTAGTAATGGAGGCTTCTGGCCACTAGCTATTGAGGAACGGGGCCTCTTGCCCATACCATGTATATAAGCCAAACCTTGAGATGACTGTCTGTAGCCCTGGCTGACCGCTTGACTGCAACCTTGTGAGAGATCCTGAGCCAGAAACACTTAGCTAAACCATTCCCAGTTTTCTGACCTTCAGAAAACTATGTGACATGATAAATGTTTGTTGTTTTAAACTGCCAAGTTTAGCAGTAAGTTAGTACATATATATCCCATTGCCATCGACTCGATTCAAACTTAGAGCGACCCTACAGGACAGAGTAGAACTGCCCCACAGGGTTTCCAAGGAGGCGGCTGGTGGATTCAAACTGCCAACCTTTTGGTTAGCAGCCAAGCTGTTAACCACTGTGCCACCAGGGTTCCAACTTAGTACACAGTGATAGAGAACTAATATAGTACAGCAGCTCCTCCCCACCCCTGCCACATACACACACATATATCCGTTATTGTCACCAACATCATCTAGAGTCTTGCTATATAATTCTATCCTCTGGTTCCAGAAAATGCGGCTTGTTTCTTTAGAATGGATAACTTTTTGAAAGAAGATCTTTGGGACTAGGTCCAAGACAAAGCTTTATCATACAAACTTATGTTATTTGAACAGCTCATATGATATTAAGTCTCTACAGAGTGCCTAAAAGTTAACCTAACAGTAAACCATCTTACCTAAGACAGTCCCATGGAGGGGAAAAAAAAAAAATCCTTGGAGAAAAGGATTCCCTACAGAAAATGATGCAAGAAGAGGTGGAATGGGGGATCAATTTTTAAAGTTTTTATTTAACTAACGAGATCTGTTTTAGTTGAAGTGTTGGAAAAGAAGAAAAGGCAGAACTCTCATCAAAATGGGAAATATTTCCACCTCAAAAATCTTTGTTTTTTTCCTTTCATTAATAGGAGGCTGGTGACCATTAGTTCTAAAATGGCCTCTCCCATTCCATAGACATTTGCATCTCTCTCAAAGAGGAGAGGAAAGATCTTTTTTTTTTTCCCCCAGAAATTCCAGGTCAGTTTGGTGATGGCCCCTCTCATGCATAACGGCCATTTTCTTAACACCAAGAATTTGACCAATTAGATCATTATTCTTCCAAAAGATTTTCTGGTATCAAGGAATGGGTCCCCTTTCACATTACTCAAATCTTGGCATCTGTTTTAAGCATGACTTCGATGACGTTCCTTTAGCCAGAATTGGGTATGGTCCTGTGAGCAATGGATGTTATCTCAAACCATTGTCTGGAAACAAGCTGGATAAAAGGTGGATCTTGGGCTCCACAAGGACCTGCCAAGTGGGGTAAAGTTCATACTGGAAAAGCAGACCTTTTCTTGGGTTTTCTATTCCACTTTGTAAAGGAAAGGGTTACATTCAAGGAACAGGAGTTAAAAAGG